ATGTCCTGCATCTCCCCCGCATCCGTCGTCGCAGAGCCGTCTGCGCGTCGCAACTGGGGCTCGCAAGGCCAACTCCGCATCCAAGCGCACTCCCACGCTTGAGCAAGTATTCGCATTGCAACTTGAAGCTCTCCTGAGAATTATGCTGCACCTAGCGTGCGGCAGTGGCGCACAAACAAGCGAGTGCCTTGACTGACGTACCATGTCAAGGTCTGCACCGCCTTAACTGAACCATCAATGGATGATCGCGTTGCAGCTGAACTCGCGCACGCCGTTGGACATGACCAAATTTCCCAGACGCTTCGCGGGTCAAGGCAGCTACCTCGATCACGGGTGGCACCACCTCCTCCCGCCCGCCATGGTTCAAGATCTCTCGAGTTGCAGCTTCATGCTCCATCCGCTCTACAATTTGAGACGCAGTAGTAACACGCGCCGATGAGTTGCGGGCGGTACCGGTCTGTGCCCGAAAATATTCGCATCGGGGTCTAACCAAATCTCCGCAGGGCACTCCGCGTAAGTGAATTTCTTCCTCTGGTACCGAGTGGCAATCGAGCTTATCAAGATAGTCATGTTCATCCCAATGGCATGGAAGGCACGGCCGACGACTGACCCTGCACGGCTTCGCGCCGTCACCAGCACAAGCCTCTGCAAGCTCGCCCGCCACCTCATTGCCGCAATGCGGGGCATGCGATTTGACCCAAGCAGGGTCGATCACGTTGAACTTCTCCGCGCGCGCCTTCCGGACAGATCGTGGGCCACACACCAAAGCTACATTGAATCGCGGCTGAAGCTGTTCCAATATTACTAACTTCTGCAAGTGCTTCGAGTCAAACGTGGATAGTACGGAAGCGCCTTCCGGGGCGAGAGGTATTGGAGAACGGAGCTGCCCAAGAAGCCACAAACAACATTCCAGGGCAGCCTGTGGCTCGGCGACACCGCTGGACAGACGAACGGCCCCAACGAACAATTCTTCGTCCGTCTCCTCCGCCCCCCATTCGATATCCCTGCCTGTCGGCAGGTTTTTGAGCAACGCTAAAAGTAAATGGTCGGAGGCGGTCGCCTCCGAAAGCACAGGGCGCCAAGGGCAGTGATCGAACGCAGGGCCTCGGGCCGACACGCAGTCTATCTGACTCGGCGCGCACCGCAGGCCATGGTAGCACGCGTCGCTCCCAGCGCCCAAACTCGCATCGTAGAGAGTATCGAACACCCGACTATCCTCCGCAAAGATGATCTCCGCGAGACGCAGAGCCTTCCAACGAGAAGAACGTAGAGAAGAACCAAGAACAGGACCAATGAGATGAAAGCCAATATCCAAATCTGCAAATTTTCAATCAGCATCGATACTGCACAAAAGGGAAGCTTCACTAGGACACGACCTGAGTATCGTCTCGCAATCTGTCAAGCTCTGTCCAACTTTGTCCGTGAGATGTTCGAATCAAGGTGGCTGACACGAAAAACAGCTCGCCCAAAACTGGATGATTCATCCCCAATCCCACTTGGCATCCCTGAAAAGAAGGGCCCCCAACGACGAAGCTGACCAAAGACTCGTGGATGATGATGCCAGGCACACTGAAACCGCACAAGAGGGTGTCCGAGATGATCTGGTGGCCATCGACGTCCTGAGGTTACGGATTCTATTCTGCTTCGGTGACTTCCTGAGCTAAAATGACTCACCATTCAGATTCTCGCTGCATGCGTATACCAAAGCGTCTCGAAGTAAAGATTGCGCCAGCCTCCGGAGGTTCCACGATAACGCCTTGAAGCTCACCCCTCCGCGGCTGCGTCGAAAACGGCACGGGACTCAACGCATTCCGGACGCTTTGATCGCCTCCAGATGGTTGTCCAAATCCACCGCCACACCTGCGGCTGTGAGCTGGACCGCCGCTCCCACCACCACCTTCATCAGGTGCGTGTTCTTGTCCGACGCGTAAAGATTGATCGGCCACGGGGCTGGCGTGAAAGGAAGCTTCTCACACACGAGGATCACGTCGCTGTAGTCGGATATCTTCACCCCGTTCAGCACCACCTGCTCGTCGACCTTCGCCTCGAGCTGCTCTACGACCACGTCCCTCGCCTTGGCCACGCGCTTCCCCATGTCCTGCTCCCAATCAAACTTGTCGATGCCGTGCCATAGCATCCTTTTCGAAGTGTCGTTCGGGTCCACTGGCCTGGAGGGATCGGCCAAGTTAGCGGAGATCTTCTTACCCTTGTAGGCCTTCCAGAACCCCACATCTCATCGGAATTGTGAAACCATATCTGAACACGAGTGCAGAATGACCCACAGCCAACCACCTGCTTGTATTTAGTGCTGTTGGTGTTCAACTCGTCTTGCAATAACTTGACGATCTTAACGGCATCGTTGTAAACGACCCCCCAAACTACGCAGCAACGTCTCTTCTTCAGGGGCACGAAACCAGGAGAATACGCTGTCCCTGCTGAAGGCAATGCAGCGCTGACGATCGCGTTGCCCCCTTGGCCTCCTGCAGCCTTCCATTTCCTCCCAGCTCCCACTCGCCCTTCTCCACCTTCTCTCTAACCTTGACTAAATCCTGAAGCTGCTCGGAGTGCGTCGCAAGCGTGGCGCCCTGGTCCTTCACCTCCCAGTTCAGCGTGTGAGGGTCTGCTTCACTGGCTTGAGCTGCCCCTTAACGCTCCCCACCGAACGTCTCCTGTCGCACTGCTAGGAGGGCCGACATCTCGCTACCAAGGCCGTGTTTCGCCGCGACGGCGCTAGCCTCTGACGCTCCGCCTGCCACCCGGCCACGTTTGACTCGGTCCTCACTTCCCCCATCTGCTCCGTTCAGTTCCTCGTCGCTGACGTCGAAAAGAGGCTCGGCCTGAGGCGAGCGAGCACACAAAGCGCACAAAGCGGCTTGAGCCAAAATGGCTACGGAGATCGTGCAGGGGCAAAATTGGAGGGGGTTGACCCGGTTCAGCTCCAGGAGTCGACTGCACGCAAGAGCGACCGTAGGTAAGAGTGAGTGCCCAGCTTCGGGGGGGGGGGGCGCTGGCAGGCCAGATCCGAGCGCGCAGGCCGGTGCTGGGGGGGACCCCGTGTGAGCGCACCAGAGGGCCACTCCAGCGGAGTGGCCACGCTTACGCGAAGCCGGAGGAGTGGAGTCAGCACTCCTACACGCAGGCCTGTCTGGAGAACAGTCTGGGAAACAACGATGAGCTGATGCGCAACCCCGAGCGGGATCCCGCGCCGACCCGCTCGGGGCCCCCCAGCGGGCGGGCGCAGATGTTCTCTCGGAGGTGACGCATGGGGGCGACAAAGCCCAGGGGAGAGTAAGACACGCATCCAGGGGCACCGATGGGCCATGCCTTCGGCGAGGATCCCAGGCGAATGCGTGCAATGCCAGCCCCTGGGCCATTCGCCCCTATCGCCGCCGCCGATTGTCTTGCAGTGACTTCCTGTGAAACACAGGCCTAACACCCCCCGTGGGCCCAGCGGCGGTGCGACGAGCCACGAGGCTCGCGGGACCCCTCGGCAGGGCCCCACCGGGCGTCCCTCCCAGGCCAGGAGACGGAGAAGGCAAACGCGACACGACATTACGATTGCTCGCCCGAACAGCCCAACACGCCCAAGGGGCGTGCGACTTTCAATTCGCCGGCCCAACGGGCCAGAGGCGTGCTAAGATCTCCGGTAACTGCTAAATAATACTTCTACTTCGCGCGCGCGGGGCGGCCCCTGGGGGTCCCCGGACGAAAAGTACCCCGGGCGATCCCCGGCAGACTCGGATCAGAGATGGTTTTCCTCCTGGGCGCCGCCCCCGTGGACCTCCAGAGAGCCCCAAGAAGGGCCACGAGGCCGCCAAGAGCCCTCCAAGATGGTTCAAGAGTGCTCCGAGATGCCACACGATCGTCGATCGTTCCAAGACGCCCAAGATGGCCCCCAGACGCCCCAAGAGGCCTCCAAGAGCACTCCCCAGAGGGCCCCAAGAGGCAAAATTCATTACTTGTCCTTAGGTTTGGGGCATATGTTCGCGTGTCCATCTTTTCGGCTTCCCGACGCCCCAAGACGGCCCAAGAGGCCCCCAAGATCGCCCCAAGAGGACCCAAGAAGCTCCCAAGAAGGCCCCAAGATGGCCCAAGAGGGCTCCCAGACGGCACCAGAGGCATCCAAGACGGCCAAAGAGGGGCCCAAGAGGGCCCCAAGCGATGCCCCAAAGGGGGAACACAAAGCAAAACTTCGAGCCCTCGGCCTTAAGAAGCCCCCAGGAGGCATCAAGAGGCCCCTGAGAGGCCCCAAAAGCCCCCAAGAGGCCCTCAGGAGGCCCCCAAGCGACGCTGAAGAGGCCCCCCAGCGGCCCCAAGAGGCTCCCCAAATGCCCCCTCCAGCACGCAAGCAAATGCCAACGACCCGACGCGTTAAAGAGCCCACCACAGCTCCCGAAAGTCCCCAAATCGGACAAGGCTCCGAAGAGGCCCGAAAAATAATCATCAACACGTCAGCCTAAGAAACTGCCTAGAGCTCTCCGCAGCGACCCCGAGCGTACCCAGGAGGACTCTAACCTTCTACCAAGGCACGGTGGCAGGATCCCCTTCGACACTTTTCGGCCCTCCTGGACAGCCCCGGCTAATCTCGAAAGTCTGCAGAGGTCTCTCGGGCCATCTTGCCACTCTCGCCCCGCTGCTGCCCAGCTACGCGTCTTCCACAAGCGCGGTGGCGGATATGCGCGGCTCAGTCATGCGAAATGGGCCGGCGGAATGAGCGAAGCCATTCAATAATTGTTGCGTCAGCGGGAATCCCGCACTCCGACGCGCAGTCCAGCAACATATCAAATACACCCCCCCACGCGTAATCTTGGGCGTACTGGGCGGGTCGGCCGCCCTCAACCTCCAACCCACGCACAACCTCGACTTCCCCAGCTGCGCTGCGAGATGTCAGGGCACCCCTCTCGCCTTCTCTTCCCCTTCCTCCCCTCTCCCATGCCATACCCCCCATCCTCCCCCTCCCCCAACCCAAACTTCCCCTCCCCGGGGCGCGGCCGCCGCTCCCGCTGGCCGCCGCGCCGCCCTTGCCGCCCTGGGGCTTGCCGCCCTTGGGCTGCTGGCCTGCGCCGCCCTTGGGCCGCGGCGCCCAGCCCCCGCTGCTTGGGGGCTGCTGCCACTCCGCGCCGCCCTTGGGCTGCTGCCACTCCGCGCCGCCCGTGGGCTGGTGCCACTCCGCGCCGCCTGGAGGCTGCCACCCCGCGCCGCCCTCGGACTGCCACCCCCCGCCGCCGTTGGGCGGCCACTCCGCGCCGCCCTTGGACTGCCAGTCCGCGCCGCCCGGGCGCTGCCACTCCGCGCCGCCGGGAGGCTGCCACTCGCTGGCGCCGGGAGGCTGCCAGTCCGCGCTGCCCGGGGGCTGCCAGTCCCCGGTGCCCGGGGGCTGCCAGTCCGCGCCGCTGCCCGGAGGCTGCCACTCGTTGGCACCAGGGGGCTGCCACTCCGAGCTGCTGCCAGGGGGCTGCCAGTCTGAGCTGCCCTGCTGCCACCCACCGCCGCTATCAGACTGCCACTCGTCGCCGCCCTGGGGCTGCCACTCCGTGCCGCCCTTGGACTGCCACTGTGTGGCCTGACGCGCGCGGGGGACAGGCAGCAAAACAAAGAGCTGTCAAATGCGCCAGCATGGAAAGAGCCAGTATATATATATATATATATACACACACGATTATGATGCCGCTGGGCAACCCAAGGACTATGTCGCCCAATGATTGGATTTGGTATATATGTAAATTATGGGGGGTTCGACGCGGAAACCCCAGGGAACCAAGCAAATGAGAGGCTGCAATCTGACCGTCCCCCACTAAGTCGGACATGGGGAAATCAATAATGCTGGGACGCACACAGAATGAATAGCCTGTGAAGAAGACCCTCCTGCCGAGTCGGCATATGGGACAAACTTCCATGGATTATCCGTGGCCGTTCATCAAAACACTTCATTCGCGAGACGCCTTCCATGGAAGTTGCCCATTCCAAGTCGGAGTTTGCCCAAGCTGTCGCGTTGTCCGTGGATGAAGGGTATCCCCTTCCCGCCAGCGGGGACTCGTGCTGATCGGTTCCTTCTCAGGGCTGGCGGCAAGGGTCGTAAGGCCCTTGGAATACGGCCACGCCAGCAGTCCCAATCAGGGTGGTCCAGCAGGAAGATCCGCCTGCCACTGCGCAAAGTGCGAGATCTGATTTGAACCTTTCATTTTTATACATTGGACAGTCTGCCTTGCAACCTGGGCCCCATCCTCTGCCACCTTGACCCGCCCCAGAACCCCCTATGATGCCAACTTGGGCAAGACGGGTCCAAGATCCGCCACCATGCCCCTCGCACGCTGAGGCATAGTAGAATATCAAAAGTTGTCTGGTAGGGTTTCTGTGATAGTCTAAGGGGCCCTCCTCCCATATACTAGCAGAGTGTTACAAGGGCTACATCCCCTAGTAAAGAACACACTATAATTTTGTTGTTAAAAAACATGTGCATACAAAAACCCGCCCTTTTTGTCTGCTCTGGTGCCGAGGCTGACTGTCACGGCGGCACCACCGGGCGGACAAGTCGTGCCCCCCTTTGTGGAAACAACAGAATTACTCGTGCAAGCTATCGTGTCCGGCGCGAAGCCGCTGGGAGGAAAATAGTGAATTTCCCCTCCTTGCGCCGGCCGCAGGCCGGAGGAGTCAGGGGGGTGAGGAGGAGGAGGAGGAGGAGGAGGAGGAGGAGGAGGAACCGAGAACGGACAGTGGCGGTGTGTGTGCGCGCGCACAAAACTCCTTTTATGGTCCCAGCGACCACTTATATAATGAGGTTACACAGAATGACTCTAGAAAGGTTGACGCACAATGCCTATTCAGGAAGAGCTCATGCGGCGAAGTGGCAGGTGGAAAACATCCCCAGAAACCCATCGAGACGGGGGCGGGAGCGGGAAGGGGGGAGCGAGGGAGGAGAGGGAGGAACAAAGAGGAAGGGCGACAGAAAGCCACAACTGCTTGGGGAACGCCTGTGGGTGAAAACGGTTGGGCGCACACACTCGCCAACTAAACAAAACATCCGAACGATGGCGCACGGGCGCTCACGCGCCCAGCACCGCGCGTGGAAACCATGACGATGACGGCGTCAGGGCGAGCCTGGCGTGAGGCCAGAGGCCAGGGTCAACCAGCAGCGGGCGCGGACATGCCCACACGCAGTGCTCATGCACGCGGTACGCTGGAATGCAACCAATTGGGAGGAGCAGGAAGAGCGGAGGAAGGAGAAAGGGACCGTCCCGCCAACAGCGGCGCGCCCACGGCCCGGCTGGTATCGCCATGCCCGCCTGGATTGCAAAACTCTCCGGCACCACGGAGGAGGAGGGAGGAAGGGAAGGAGGGACACCGACGGCGGACGACGGAGGGGAGGAAAGAAAAGGGAAATGTCCTGCCAACAGCGGTACGCCCACAGCTCCCGCTGGCATAACGGCGCGTCCACGGCTCCAGCTGGCACTCTCCAGTCGGTCGGGACTGCAAGAGTCTGTGGCACCACAGTGGAGGAGGGAGCGAGGGGAAGAGAGACACCGATGGCGGACGACGGAGGGGAGACAGGAGAAGGGGAACGTCCTGCAAACAACAGCGCGCCCGCGACCCAGCCGGCCCAAGGAGGCAACCAAATGCTCGCGCCGAGCATCCCGGCCTCCAGCCGCCCAGATAGCCTGGACCAACACGGTGGCACCAGCCTCAAGATTGCAGCCCGAACCCGTACTGCTCCAAGTCATGCTGCTGGCGCCCGACGAGCAGCCCAAAGTCGTACGGCAAGAGCCCATGGTGCACGGAGAAGCCAGGGGAACCACAAACGCTCCCGAGGGCAAATCCTGGGGCTGCACGGCTCTGCTGGGGCTTGGTGCTGGAGCCATTCGCCGACCTCGCGGCGTCATCGCGGTAATGGTGTAGGCGCCGGCGTTGGTGCTGGCGCCATCGCAGGCGTGCATGCTGGCGTCGGTGCTGGCGTCGGTGCTGATGTAGGCGTCGGCGTTGGTGCTGGCGTCGGTGATGACATCGGCGCTGGTGCAGGCGCTGGCCTTGTTCCCGGCGCAGGCGTTGGCGTTGGTGCAGCCGCTGGCGTTGGTGCCGGCGCTATCACAGGCGTTCATGCTGGCGCTGGTGCTGGCGTCGGTGCTGCTGTACGCGTCGGCGTTGGTGCTGGCGTCGGTGATGACATCGGCGCTGGTGCAGGCGCTGGCCTTGTTCCCGGCGCAGGCGTTGGCGTTGGTGCAGCCGCTGGCGTTGGTGCCGGCGCTATCACAGGCGTTCATGCTGGCGCTGGTGCTGGCGTCGGTGCTGCTGTACGCGTCGGCGTTGGTGCTGGCGTCGGTGATGACATCGGCGCTGGTGCAGGCGCTGGCCTTGTTCCCGGCGCAGGCGTTGGCGTTGGTGCAGCCGCTGGCGTTGGTGCCGGCGCTATCACAGGCGTTCATGCTGGCGCTGGTGCTGGCGTCGGTGCTGCTGTACGCGTCGGCGTTGGTGCTGGCGTCGGTGATGACATCGGCGCTGGTGCAGGCGCTGGCGTACGCGCCAGCGCAAGCGCTGGTGTTCATGCTGACGTCAGTGCTGGCGTCCGCGCTGGTGTAATTAGGCGCTGGTGTTGGTGCCGGCGCCATCGCAGGCGTGCCTGCTGGCATCGGTGCTGGCGTCGGTGCTGCTGTAGACGTCGGCTTTGGTGCTGGCGTCTGTGATGACATTGATGCTGGTGTAGGCGTTGGCGTTGGGGCCGTCGTAGGCGAAATCGTTGGTGCTAGCGCTTGCGCGCACCGGTCAGCTGGGCAGCTAACCGGTGCGCAGTGGTCTGGCGTCGGTGCTAATGTGGGCACTGGTGTTGGTGCCGGCGCAGGCTCCGGCGTTCGTGCTGGCGTCAATGCAGGCGTCGGCGCTAGTGCAGGCGCTGGCCTTGGAGCCGGCGCAATCGCAAGCGTTCATGCTGGCGTCGATGCTGGCGTCGGCGCTGGCGTACGCGCCGGCGTCTGTGCTGGCGTCGGTGCTGGCGTCGGAGCTGGCGTAGGCGTCGGCGTTGGTGCTGGCGTCGGTGATGAAAACGGAGCTGGTCTATAGGCGCTGGCGTTGGTGCCAGCGCAGGCGCCGGCGTTCGAGCTGGCGTCAGTGCTGGCGTCGGCGCTGGTGTAGGCGCTGGCGTTGTTGCCGCAACGATCGCAGGCGCTCGTACTGGCGCCGGTGCTGGTGGAGGCAGTGGCGCTGGCGACGGCGTAGGCGCAGGCGTCGGTGCTGGCGTCGGAGTTGGTGTAGGCGCTGGCGTGTCGGCGGAGATGGTGTAGGCGCAGGCGCAAGCGGTCGTGTTGGCGCCGGTGCTGATGCAGTCGCTGGCGATGGTGCCGGCGCCATCACATGCGTTCATGCTGGTCCCGGTGCTGGCGTCGGTGCTGCTGTACGCGTCGGCGTTGGTGCTGGCGTCGGTGATGACATCGGTGCTGGTGCAGGCACTGGCGTCAGTGCCAGCGCAGGCGCTGGCGTTCGTGCTGACGTCAGTGCTGGCATCCGCGCTGGTGTAATTAGGCGCTGGTGTTGGTGCCGGCGCCATCGCAGGCGTGCCTGCTGGCATCGGTGCTGGCGTCGGTGTTGCTGTAGACGTCGGCTTTGGTGCTGGCGTCTGTGATGACATCGATGCTGGTGTAAGCGTTGGGGTCGGGACCGTCGTAGGCGAAATCGTTGGTGCTAGCGCGTGCGCGCACCGGTTAGCTGGGCAGCTAACCGGTGCACACTGGTCTGGCGACGGTGTTAATGTAGGCACTGGTGTTGGTGCCGTCGTAGCCTCCGGCGTTCGTGCTGGCGTCAATGCTGGCGTCGGCGCTGGTGCAGGCGCTGGCCTTGGTGCCGGCGCAATCGCAAGCGTCCATGCTGGCGTCGATGCTGGCGTCGGCGCTGGCGTACGCGCCGGCGTCTGTGCTGGCGTCGGTGGTGGCGTCAGAATTGGCGTAGGCGTCGGCGTTGGTGCTGGCGTCGGTGATGAAAACGGAGCTGGTGTAGGCGCTGGCGTTGGTGCCAGCGCAGGCGCCGGCGTTCGAGCTGGCGTCAGTGCTGGCGCCGGCGCTGGTGTTGGCGCTGACGTTGTTGCCGCCGCGATCGCAGGCGCTCATACTGGCACCGGCGCTGGTGAAGGCAGTGGCGCTGGCGACGGCGTAGGCGCAGGCGTCGGTGCCGGCGTCGGAGTTGGTGTAGGCGCTGGCGTGGCGGCGGAGCTGGCGTAGGCGCGGGCCTCGGCGCAAAGGTAGCACTGGCGTTGGTAATGGCGACGGCGCTGGCGTCGGTAACCGTGCGCGGGCGATAAGCATCACCAGGGGATGATCTGTCTCGGGTTCTCGCGGGGAAAGCAAAATATTCTCCCGGGGATGAGAATGAGGATGATGATGATGATAACAATGATGCTGATGATGATGATGATGATGATGACGGTGATCCTGGGCGTTCGGCACAAGACTGGCTCGAGAGATCTCGAGACTCGTGGCTCTACAACTTGCCAGCAATCGCTCGGCGCATTACTGACTCGAGAGATCTCGAGGCTCGTGGCTGTACAACTTGCAAGCAGGCGCTCGGCACCAGACTGACTCGAGA